CATATTCAGCTCACTCTGCTTTAGAGTCGTGTAGCTCAGAAGAGAAGGGTGTTTTTTTTTTACAGCGCTCTGGGAAAACAGCTGTGATCTTTTTTGCTAATCACACATTATAAATCGAAATTATACTGCAATTTCTTGGTGGCATCTCTTTTAAGGAGCATTGATGTCAATCAGAAGAAGACAGGGGCGGAGCTAGGGGGTGGCTTGGGGTGACCATGGGTTGCAATTCCTCTCTAGACCAGTGGGTAGCAGCAGTGATTCTCTCAAGTGTAAAGTCCTACTTACTAATAACTACTTAATTATTTTACATTCTAATTATTAATCATCATTAACCATAAACTGAAAAAAGCAACAACAACAAAAAAAGCTAATATATTTACCTATCAAAATACTAATATTGAAGCTTAAAAAGTACAGATTTTTTTCTTTTAAAACTATTTTTTGGTTTCATGTGGAAGAAAGGAATGTATGCGTCTCTGCGGGTCATCTAGAGTTTTCTATGTATTTAAAAAAAACAGCTCAACCCATTTAATGGGTATTATAAATTAATTTTAACAGATTTGTATATTATGATTAATTTAGACAGCATTAGAAAAGGCTTCATAAAAATGTTGTCTGTCCTGAGTGTTTTAGTAGGGAAATTTACTTGTGTGTCTCCATTTTCCTGCTGGTACAGTATACATAGACTCTTAACTGGTTTTGTCTTCTATTAGTTTACGTATTCATATATCAGTCCACTTCAGCATCATCAAGTCTTAAAAAAAAAGAGATGAACCTCTGTAGAAGAATCTTTGGATATAATTGTTGTATTTGCAAAGAGCTCAGTGATCTGCTGTTATAGCTTTACTTCTGTTTAGTGGTTTTAGCCACTCTTCATGCTTTAAAAGACTTTTTTTTTTTTGCCATGATAAACATTTTTTTTATCATGTGGGAGGCAGATAAATTGTATTGATGGGTCTGGATTTGGTTTGCAGGCCTTGAATTTGACACATAGGCTCTAGAGGAGCTCCAAAGATCCGTGGCTCTGGTAGTGAACCCATTAACAAATTGAATATTACCAAACCGCTTCAAAAATCTGATATTGCAGGAAGAATCTCTGGTCAGATGGGACCAAATTTGATCTTTTCAGGCTTAACCACAGAAAACTAACACCGCGCAGCGATGTGACCACACAATCCTCACCATGACACGAGGCAGATGCAGCATCGTGCTGTGGCAACGCTTTCAGCAGGGAAACACAAGCTGGTCAAAACAGATGGAAGGAAGGATGGAGCTGAGAACAGGGCAACCTTAGAACCTTAGGCTGCTAAATACTAGTGACTGAGGCAGAGCATTGCCTTCAGCAGGGAAATACTGAACATACGGCTATAACTACAACAGAACGGTATAAATCTCAATGAGGCTCAATTCATGTCAGGATATAAATCTAATCATTTTTTGAGTAGAATTTAAAAATTGTTGTTCTCAGATGTTCTGGGTCCAGTTAAATTAAGGTTTAGCTATTTTTACAGGACAAGTTGATGCAAACATCTCCGGATGTGGAAAGCATGTAGAGACCCACGCTAAAGGCCTGTTATAAGGGTTGAATACCAATTAGAGTTGTTCCTATTCTGAAACCAGAATCAGAAATGTCTCTGTTAGGATAATTGTCATTGATGATGTGTGAGTTTAGTCAGAACTGATGTTTTCCCCAATAGTGTATCTAATTAAGACAGTTCCTCTGTCTGGATATACAGATATAATCTTAATTCTGCATGTGGCAAAAATTTGGGAATGAAATGAGAGCGGTGTCCTTCAGCTAAGAACAGAGTGTAATATTGTGATAAGGCTGGAGTCATGATGTCTACTCATCTGCTAACGTGTATGATGTAATGATGTATCATACTAGAGATGTATAAAATGCTTCTTTAACTGTTAATCAGGGCCACTTCCCAAGAAGTGAGCCCGGTTGGTAAACAGCTGCCTTCTGTAAATTCTAAACAACTTCTCTGATCAGAGTAAGATTACAATTTCTTTTAGAATTTGTTTTCATCTCTCCTGGTTATTTAATACATATAAGTTATGATTGATCTCTTTTCAGGAAAAAGAAAAAGAAAAGAAAAATGTAATTTAAAATAGGAACTAAAATAGGAATCTATGTACCTGTTAGTTCTGGTAGTTCTGACACGGTTCTTGTTCGGCACTCTTAAAATAGTTGCACTGTGCAGGCATAGTAGGATTTTATTTTTCCTTTTTTTGGTAACTCGATATCAACCGACAAGTTGCCTTTTGTATCTCTGCTTCTGTCTCCTTGAACCCCAGTCGGCCTCGGCAGACGGCCGCACACACTGAGCCTGGTTCTGCTGGAGGTTTCTTCCTGTTAAACTGGAGTTTTTCCTCTCCACTGTCACTAAAAGCATGTTTGTTTGTATTCTTGTGAGAGATTGCCTTAGAATCAATGAAATCAACTGTTTTTCCTTACATAGAACACTTTAAATACATTTATTGTATGATCTGGTGAACTGTAAAGCGGCATGAGACGACGTGTTGTGAATTGGCGCTATAGAAATAAACTGAATTGAGTTAAAATTAATTTGATTGATTCTCGCAGCACAAGTATTGCAATCGTATCAAGAGAAAAAACTAATGGTATCGGAACATCTCTAATAACAATGCATGAAGCACTTTACAGATAAAAGAATAAATGGCATTAAGAAATCGTTGCCATTGTCTTTGTAAGGTTGCAGTAGTTTTTTAAGCCTCATAAAAAAATCAAATTGCAATTCAGTCAAAATCGTAAAAGGTTTAAGGGGATTAAAACCTTTATAAGGCACCCTATGTGAACTACAGAGTCTTTGGCAACGTTCACACTGCAGCCTGAAGTAGGGCTGCAACTAACGATTATTTTAAAAATCGATGAATCGGACGATTATTTTTTCGATTAATCGATGAATCGGACAAAAAATATTTTTTATATTAACCTCTTTATTCCAAAATAAACATTTTAGACAGAACAAACAAGCACACAAGTACAGGTTGCCCATTAACTGTACTGGTGCAATATGAAAAATAAATGTTTGTGTTAAAACTACGCAAACTTACATGAGAAATGTAGCTGTACATCCACAAAATATAGGGTACTTTGTTTCATAAAGCGCAAAAAAAGACATTTTTGTTTTTAAAAGCCTCTAAGGGGTTCAAACAATAGGCCCCCCATTTCAACAAATGAGTTTTTTTTAGACTAGAAGAGTTCTGCCTTTTAAGACAGGAAAGTACAGCAGTTAAAGTTGCTACTTGAGAAAATACTGAACCATAGAGATAAAAATAGCCCTGTGATTCAAATTATAAATTGTATTTGGAATAAAAATGAGAGAACTAGGGGTGCTAAAAAACACATCCTCCAAAGACAGATATTTACATGGGAATGTGGCATATAATTAATTGACATATTACTGATCTTGCTGGATTTTATTCTGCTTTACTTCTATAAATTGCAGGATCATCTTTACTTTATCTTTGCCAGAAGATTTAAACTTTAAAAGTCTTGCCCTCATAATTTGCAAGTTAATTTATTTATAAAGTAAATATAAACGCTGCTTAAGCTAATTCAAATGAAATTAAAAGTAAAATAAGTAGCCAACCTTATCACTGTCTGTAACCTACTAACACGGTAAGGAAAGCATCAGATGAGCTTCCTGAGAAACTAACGTTACGTTTCCCCACTTTAAAACCAAACAAACATGGTGGTTCCGTGCCATGTTAATTTCTTTTGAAAAAAGTTGCATGTTATCACTTTTTTCGCTTTACAAAGCGCAGGCTATTTTAATTATTGTGATCAATTTGCGCCGTCAATCCCGGTGCATGCGCGCTTCATTTGCAGTCTGGACACTGAGGCTCTGACTGAGAGGGACTCCTGCGGGAAAACGCGGTTGGGGTGGGGGAGGCGCCCCACGGCAGAGTAGGAACATGCATGCTTTCACGTAAGAGTCTCCAAAAGCCGCCAGTGACACCGAAAAAAGTCGCCAGATTTGTCGCTAGTCGCTTTTTTGAAAAATAGTCGCTGGAGGGGTCTGAAAAGTCGCGGAGTTGGCAACACTGCACCTGCGGCGCTGACTCGCTCTGCCGTATTTTTTTTTCTTCCTCTTTCAGTCAAGAGGCAGTGATGACGGCGCGGCGGATGACGCAATAATCGCGCGACACAACTAATCGATGATGAAATTCGTTGCCAACGCTTTTAAAAGTCGATTTTTATCGATTTTATCGATTCGTTGTTGCAGCCCTAGCCTGAAGTGACCCAAATCCGATTTTTTTATCACATATGCGACCTGGATCTGATCTTTTCATGGCTGTCTGAACAACACAGATCTGATTTTTGCAAAGCGACCCAGGCCACTTGGCTATGTGGTCCTGAATCCGATACGAATCTGATCTTTTCAAATGACCTGTGTCTGAATGGCCAGGTCGCATTCCTCTGACCTGAATGCCATTAAAACCCAACAAAGGTCATTATTATGCCTCTTGCTACGCAGAAGGGGCAAGAAAAACAACAACCATGGCACATGATGATGTGGAGAGCAGTATGTATGTTTAACCATATTGCAAAGATTGTGTTTTTATGGTTGGAAAAGACCGCTAGATGCACGCCGACGCTACCATCCATGTTTACTTCCGGGAAAAAAGAGCACGCTGGCCTGTGACGTCACTCCGTCCTCTACTGCGCATGCAGGACACTTGCGTTGTATGACTGCAGTTCACACAGGAGATCACATACAAGTCGCATATATTTGGAAATGTGACCAGTAACGTAAAAAGAAATCGGATTTCACAAAAAATGGGAATTAGAGTGCCCATAATCTAAAAAATGAGCAAAGAATCTGGTTGGGGTGTGTGGAGGTCTCAGAAGACTTAACGTGTTTGTGCAGATTAAGAGCAGTGATTTCATTTCAACTTAAAGGAAAAAAAAAACTGCAGGAAAAACTGGTAAAAATAGAAACTTGCACTGCAAATTTGGCTGAACTTACCTGGCCATTGCTACTCCAACCACACATCCGCCGACAATAGACCAAAAACCTATCCAGCCTGCATCCACCTGTGAGAAAAAAAAATGAAAGGTGGGTTAAAAGCAAAGTTGAGAGAGGGAGGACAGAGAAAGGCAGAGAGCAAGTGTTAAGTGTTTGAAACCTACTGAGACCTTTCAGTCACTATGTCTGCTAAATTGCCTCGTCTGACAGTATGCTGTGTGTACGTGTATGCTTGAAGAATTGTTGTCCTTCTTCTATTTAGAGGAATGGAAGCCAATCCTGGAACATTTGCTCAAAGTCAGGAGACAGGATGTTACGGCCAAGGGACTGTCGCAGAATCAATGGCGGGTAAAATGCTGCATGTGTAACAAACCTACACACAAACACACAACCAATCAGGGTGAGACACCCAGATGAAAACAAGCAAGTGCCAATGGCGCCGTTTAGTCTCCCTGGGGCTATAACTCACTTTTTACCAATTCCAACCAGATGGAGGATACACAGCAAGGGAACAGAGTCAAAACAAGGATACTGGAGCTTTTTGCTTAATCATTCTCTGCACCCAAATGTCATCAAAGGCAACAATAAATAAAAATGGACAGCCAAAGTTATTAATTATAAAATGTATTTTGGCTTAGTGAGTGATGAATGCCAGAATGCTTTTATACCTGATATAAAGCACTTCCTTCGGTGTGTCCTTCTGGAGACCCAGAGTCCTGTGATACGGTAAAACTTTGACATAATCGTCAAGATTTATGATTCTAGAATTGCACTACTCAAGATGGCAGCATGTTGGAGTTGCTAAATTAGCTTGATTCTCATTTTATTTTTTTAAAGAATTTCGTTTCCTCCATTTTGTGGAGAAAGGTTTCATTGATCTGAAGTTTTTTAGCTCTGATTTTGGATGCTGTGCAGCTGAAAGGATTTTTATTATTATCTTTCCAGTTTTGGATATTTGTAAGGATATGTAACCATGTCAAGTTATGTTTTTTTTTGCACCCAGGAGCTGCTTATCTCAAAAGCTGAAATAAAACCTCAACTGCTACTTAAGGTCCCAGCTGAGTTGAAAACAAGGAGCCAATGATGCAGAGCAGGAGCAAGGACAATAGAAAGGAGGAGGAAATTTAAGGCAGCTCTTCCATCAATCATTGTAGACTCTAGCAAGGACAAGCCTTCTCCAAAAGCCCGCCACTAATGACAACATCTACAGCTGCTTGAGGAAAATCTTAAATGTCTAATATATGATTTCTCTTTGGGATCAATAATTACCTAGATGTACTGAACATCAGAACATGTGAATCATCATAAAACCATTCAGTTGCTTTTAATGACTACCTAGTATCATCAATGCAGGTTTGTGCAGCATTGTTGCCAAGCTTGTTAAATTTCACTAATTGAGGTAGCAAAGTATAAATAGGTCTCCGAGACATTTCATTTCCTAAATCCGAGTCAACGTGCACCATGTGCAGACATGGAGTTAATTAACCGCAGTACTGTTACTGCCTTGGAAACCTTAGAAAAGGCAGATTTGAAGCCTAATCATCTCTGCTATATTTAATTCGTGTAATACGCTGCAGACTGCCGGGACTATAAAAGGTAAACCCAATGGTTTTTATGTTATGTTTTCTTTTTATTAACTCTCCAAATAAGCCAATCAAAACAAAAATGTCAACGCTCAGCTTTATTCCTACACAACATTCTTTCTCTTAATAACTTCATGTAATCCTGAAAGCCTACAAGTCGTATTTAATAGTGAAACATGAGTCGAACAGCAAAGGAAGGTAGCTTATGCACTCTGGTGGAATTGAAGCTTGCCAAGACCTGAGGATATTAATTCATTGGTAAACAAAAAAAAGAGGTAATTAAACTAAAAGATGCTCGAAACACTGGATCAGCATTCCAGGTATTGGAATTAGAAACGCACGTCCATTAAAGCAGTGAATGCAGATGACTAATGAGCACCTGTTTGGTGAAACATGTTCATTAGGATGATGGGAAGCTCTGTGCTCAATGGTTCTGTCTACAGGTTTCACAGATTTCCCCATACAGAGATCTTATATGCTTTCATACACTTCGAAAAGATTCTTCAGGATACTAGTTGCTTTAGTAAGTGAGCAATCACTGTCACTTTACACACCTTGAGAGGCAGTAAGAGCAAAATGCATATGAAAGAACCACTTTGAAACTTTATTACTGTGTATTCATTACTTTGTTTACTTGAAAAAGAAAAAGGGTGGCTAATCTTGTCTTTTTAGTGGACATTTATTTACTTTTAGAAATATATTGCATTTGGGCCACTATCATAAAAGTGAAATAAAATGACTAAAATGATTCACAGGAATACTGGAGCCTGTTATTCTACTAGATAAAATCCCAATAATTACACTGGATGCCAAGTTAATCCAGGTAATAATTATAAAGCACTATTCTAACTTTTAACCCAAGATGGTCAGGTATTTAATTAGTATGGGAGAAGGAAAGCATCCTTTGAGATTCTGTAAGATGCCTTGCAGCAGCTGTTGAAAGCGGTGTGACTGTCTGGTGGCGCAAAGCAGAGGTGGGAGAAGAAAACGTTTCAACCTCTGCTCTACTGTGTGCAATTTCCCCACAAGCAGCAGCCTGTCTGATAAGAATCGTGGAATAATGCTTGTTTTGACATGGGTTGAAAGCAGGGAACTACAAATCAGGCAGAGTATTTTTTTCATTTTCCCAGAAGCTTCACAACAAACAGTATCTACACCAATATGTCCGAATTCTGGCAAAGTCATAAAAGCATCATGGCCGTCTGATGGGTTAGAGAAATGTAAACAAATAGCCTGACAGGAAAACATTTCAGAAAAGGACAAATAAGTACTAAATCAGGGTTTACACAGGAACGTGTAACTGATTTAATGCTTTTTAATGCTCTAAGAAATCATTTTAAAGCCATCAACAAATACCCATGACTCTCATCAAAACCCTTCATCATCTTTACCGTCAACAGGCTGCAATTCCTCGATTTCCAGCCACTTTTGTTTAAATTTGCATTTTCCCCATTCTCTAGCTTTTCTCCGCCTCGAGCTTCTTTTCCAAACATACGATCAACCGGAAGCAGTTCCGCACAAATATATCTCGATTTAATATATCTGACGAAATTGTTTTTAGAAACTTTTTTTATAAAGCATTTTAAATGCCACAATAATAACATTTAATGAATTTTAATGCCAAATATTTAATGACTTTAAAGGATTTTTAATAACTGGTGGAAACCCTGTAAACGAACCACAGAGCACTCTAACAGTTCAAAAGGACACATAAAAGCAAGTCAGCTCAAAATAAATGTTTCAGTGCCTAAACCTGGAAGGTCTGAGTAATTTGAATATCTAGATCTTACCTGGCTGACGTTGGCTGGTGTAAGAACCATGTCCAGGACCCCAGACCAGCCAGCGATCACTCCTGTAGGGACTGCATATGCCAATGCAATCATCAGGAACCGGAAGTTGCTAAAAGTTAGAAAAGAAACAATTAAAACATGAAAAATAAACCACTCGGAATTCATATTTCTATTTCCTAGCATGTCGATTTTTAAAAAATGTTCCAAAGTGTCATCCTAGAATCTTTACATAAAACCTGTTGGATTGATTGGATGGTTGTCTTCGTTAAATGTCTTCTTTCTGCACGAATCCCAGCTGATGACAGAGTTCTGCAGCATTAGGTGCCTAACAGCTTAGGTATGCCGACCATGTACCCACTTAACCTTCCTCTTTAGAGTGTGCGGCACCTCTCCGCTCATATGACACCCCAATACAAACACTTGGAAAACAAGAATCTAATCTAATCACCTTAACCCAGTGAGGTGGCAAACTAATCTAAAAATCAGAGCCACCTACTCAGCCCAAACAATCAGATTAGAGACACTAAGCAGTTGACAAATGAGGCGAGTCTGGCAGAGCAGGCAGCGGATTCTAAGGTAGTTTTCTGTTTTGCTCAAGTAATTTTTCTAATACAAATAAACCGGTATTTATTGAACTTTGCTTTGCTGGAGTAAGACTCTGTGGCTTAAATGTCAAAAATAGAAAGATTTTGAACCTCCTAAAAACCCCTAACATGCATGTTAAATGCAAATTTCTGGAAAAATGTGCATACCTTTTACTTTGGCAAACAGTGGTGGACCTCACTTTAAATCATGAATGACTCTATAGAAAACTCCACGTCTCTCCCTGCTGCAGATTGCACAACCGTCCTCAGTAACACTAGACTCCTTGGCCTTGATAGCAGCATGGAGGGACAATCATAAAAGCCTTCTGATGGAGAGCGCTGAGGAGTTTTTTTTTTTTGTTTTTTTTCCCTGAGCACCCTTTTCATTAACCTTGCCACAACAGTGGAAAATCAATAGCCAAGCAGCTTTATCTTTAAACATGACCTTATATAGACATCCCCTTCAAAGCAAAAAACATGCTAGGTATGCTTTCACTTTTCAGGAGTGATGAAATGTCCCTAAAGAAGTCTCAAAGCTGATGGTGTCATCAGCTAAGTGCCATTCGTCCTTGGCCCACCAGGTTGGAGACAAATGCATCAAGATGACAACTTTCAAAGCTAAAGGGAGTCTGACCGGAAAGTACGGAGGATCAATACTCACGCTTTTGGTCTTTGAAGTCTGATCTCCCGCGGGGGGGAGGGAGGAAGAGAGGGGGATAGCAATGAAAATTGTACAAAATGCGAGGAAACATCCAGGGTCCTAATTAGGTGGCTGCTGTGGAAGCAGATGTGAGCAACTGGAAGCTCTCATCAAGCTGAAGATCATTAGCGTGTGCCTTAGCTCCTGACAGGCTAAATGGATGAGCAGATACATCACTGGGAAGGTGTCAGGAATACTAAGTGATCCGCTGCTCGGCACCTGCCTTCAAACTTATCCTGTGCAGTTCTGCATTTTCCAATTTCCATTTTTTTGAAAGTGAATTCTGCAAGCTCCAGCTGTTTTCACTTCTTCATTCATGATTGACCAAGTACATTTTCATATTGACTCGATGGTTGTTCATGTATAACTGATGTGCTTAGTGAGCAGCTGGAAATAGATCTAGTGCCTTGCAGAAGCACTCATCTACCTTAAATCTTTGCCTGATCTGACACATTAAATTCCCTACCTAAGGACAGCTTTTGATCATTTAAACCGTTATGAAAAAGTGACAAAAACAGGATGTCTGGGCATCTCTGCTGAGACTGAATGGATGGATGGATGGATGGATGGATGGATGGATGGATGGATGGATGGATGGATGGATGGATGGATGGATGGATGGATGGATGGATGGATGGATGGATGGATGGATGGACCAATACTTCAAAAAACACTCAACAGACATCATCTCTAGCCCCGTTTGCCACTACTGAACACGACAGTGGATGCATCATGCTGCGTGGAGGTTTCTTTTCAGCAGGGACAGGGAAAATGAAATCCTGAAGGAAACTCTTTTAAAGGTGGTAAAGACTAATCAGGTGGAAACGCAACTTTCAGGAGGATAACGGCCTAAACAGACCCCCAGATCTACGGTAAGGTGGTGTTAGGATTCATGTGTTAGGATGGCCCAGTTAAAGTCCAGACCAACAAATCTAACTGAAAATCTGTGCCATCTTCAGCTACACAAGTACAGGAAAAAGTTTCCTAAGCTAGCTGTGACATCATCCCAGAACATTGCAGGTTTAGCTCCAGTAAAATGTCACCAAATACAGATGAAAAAAATGCTTTTTACAATTGTATTAGTGAAAATAAATACAAAACAAAAACAAAATTCGATATGCTCTGGAATCGTCAATTTGTTTAGGATTATTGGGTAGGTATTCATTAACATGTAAAAAATGTGTTTTCACCTGTACCCCCTTTCTTTGTTGAAACTGTATCTCGGTAACAAAGTACTAGATATGGAGATTCATTGCTTTACATTTTATTAGCAGCAGGGGAAAAAAAACAATGAAGACTGGATCACGTTGTACAAAAAAGCTATATAATGGAAAAATTGTCCTGATTAAAACTGCACCTGGACTCCTTTCATAGGATTAGATCAAATGGATAGAATATATCAAACCTATAAGATCTGATTTTACATAAAAGTGCTTTTTAAACAAGGATGATTGCTGAAGAAGTCGATGCTTTGTCATAAAAGGCAGCCCCAACTGTTTGTGTTTAGCTCTATTGTTTGAAAACTGAGGAACAAAACCGCATGAAATGTTTTCCTCTCATAATTTCCTGTGCTTCATCAATTACATAAAGTACAGAAAAAGACAAACAAAATACAACTCATAACTATTATTTCCTCTTGAAATTCATGCTTTTTATTTGTTGGTAAATAAAATATCCCAAAGACATGAATGAATGTTTGTGACTGCAATGTGAAAAGTTAAAGGGGTGGGAATATTTTTTGAACAAGAGAAAACGATTGAATGATTAATCTGTGGACGTCTGTCACTTAGTTGTACAGTTTATGGATGATTGATAGAGCTGCTTTTTTTTGTAAACAAGAAAACTAGAGCAGACAATGTGTCGTCATTGCAAATGTACAATTAAATTTCCTAAATAGGTTTTAATTTCATTTTATTTCCCTTTGGGATAAATCAAGTAAATCGCAATGATTCCATAGACCAGAGGTCACGGATTGGTGCACTGCGGTCCGGATCCGGACCCACCTGCTGGCTAATTCGGACCGAACCTGATTTAAAACATTTATAAATTATCACATGCTGTCTGATGACAGTGTCTAATTTCACTTGCACAGCTTCTCCTGTTAATATGGCAAAGCCCTCCAGAGCTTCCGGGACCAGGCTATACATGATACAAATTAGCCAATGAGCTGCGTCAGTCTGGGTTGCTGCTGCTAGCTACTGTCAGACACAGCAGGCAAACCTGCGGCAAGCCGAGCAGTGGGAAAGAAGAAGACGATGAGAAAAAGTGAAAGAAAGTGTGGACTGCTGGAAGAACTGCAGTGAACTGATGACAGTAAAGTGAAATGGCGTGCTCAAAGATGACCCTGCACATTTTGAGTATGTTTGGCTCAACCTGCTGCTGTGAAGCAGGATTCTCCACCATGAACAGATTAAAAAATAAATATGGATCCAAGCTCAAAATGAGCACCTTGATATGAGCTTTAGAATGGCTATGTCACTATTTAAACCCAGGTTTAACGCTTTGCAGGCCATAAAAAATAAAGAAAAAAACAAAAACAACTGTCAGATCAGGTGTTTTATAAAATGTGTGAATCAGAAAATTATTTATATACTAAACTGAAAGATTTTTGTTCTCTACTTAAAAAAAACACTTTAGATTTTTTTTAATATTCAATTTTTTTTTATTATTTAAAAAGTCAATGTATAATATGGATGCATAAACACCTAGTTTTATTTCAGTGTTAAATTCTGTTTAAAGTAACAGATTATAATAAAAAATGTCTCCGGACCTTTACTGGTTGTTGATTTTCTTTATTCGGACCCCGCTGATTTTTTATTGGTTACCCCTGCCATAGATTTTATTTGAAGTCATTTTTTCCCTGATCTCTGGCTTCAAGTCTGTCAGCGACTGGCTGCCCCCAGCAGAAGCTCTCTCAGCTGGATGGACTAAAACTTAAGGGAAATGTGTACTGATCTGTCCAGAACCTTGATATCTGTTGGGGTCTCCATCATCTATCAACAGGAACTCCTAGAGGAGCTGAGTTTCTCTGAACTGGTCACAAGCCTCTGAAAATCTAAGCACCACAGCGGAGTGATTTCTTACTCAAGGGGGGACAAACACAGCCAAAAAAAAAAAAAAAAAAAGTTAATTCAACTCCCTGACTGCTACTGCCCAGTTTTTCTTCTTCCTTCTCCAGCCTTTATTCCCTGGCCACAGCTGCAGGCATCATTCCTTAACAAGCCAGGCACCAGTTCCCAGACAGTGCTGCTTCCTGGTCGCCTAGGGGATAAAAATCACCCTTGATGGAGAGTGTGATGGTGTGAAGAGATGTGGAGGGGGGGATGCACGAGATTAAAATAGAGTGAGATTCAATTTTACCTCCACTTCTAGTCTCTTGTGGGTGGAAATACACAACAAATAGATGCCACCAACATCCAGGACCTTGTCTAAATAGACCATCTCTCTCTGTGAGACAATTCTTCTGGGAATATGTTTATACAACACAGCAAATACTTTATCATGATTTAGTCGGGAATCTAGAGGGAAAGCAGGGAGATACTTTACTAACAACCAAAGCAGCGTTTGAGTGGCGGACAATCTAATGCTCCTCATCTGTTGCTGGATTGAATCATTTAACTCTCCAAGCCAAGCAGAGCCTCCAGCATTATTAAATGTGATGCAGAGAGAGCTGAGGCCACACACATCTGTGGAAATGGACTTCAGTCACGGATAAGGGTTAGGAGGGCTAAATGAAGCAGATGAAGGATACTTTCAGCTAAAAAAAAGGGTGTCTGTAGGTCTGTGTTGTTGTTTGAGCATCAGCGGTTTTACCTGAGGAGTCTGCAGATGCTGCTCCTGTAACTGAGTCTCTGGCTTGCCGCGGCCACGCTGGGGGGCATTGGCGGGCGCGATGGGAAGTAGATCAGGACGGTCGCAAAAAGCGCCGCGATGACTGCCAGTTCTGCCACAGCACAGAGATGCAGGAAGTTATTTTCACAGTTTCAGTAAAACATTGCCCGATGTGACATTTTGAAAGAAAAAAAAATTTGAAAAACAGGTCAACATGACTTCTTAGAGTCCTCTGAAGACTCTTTGCGATGATAAATTTGTGGCCTGGAAGACATGACAGTAAAATGAATGTGTCTGAGGAAAATCATCCAATCTGACTCCGGTTGACACTGCAGCTGGCTGCTCTTGGAGGAGTAATACATTTTACACATATGGGATTAAGAAAGAAAGAATGATGCATTGTTTTTATGTCACTTTAACACAAGGCTAAAATGGAGCAGTGGAGTGCAGAAGTTTTCCCACACTTTGAACCGCTTCCCATTTTTCCACATTAAAATTCCACAAACCTCAAAATATTTTCCTTTAATGTTGTAGACCAACATAATAGGGCATACACTGTTATTATAAAAGGGAAGAAGACAATTTATTTTTCTTACAAATAGAAAACAGAAAAGAATGTTACCAATTCACATGTAGTCCTGTTTGATTTCATAAGCCTGAGTAAAATCTAGCCTTGCTGGCACCACTCAGTTCAAACACTAAGTCGTTTTTCCTGAGTTTAACTAAGATTTTATTGGGGTGGGTTCACGAATCTTTAAACGTAATTCACGTGATGCAAAACATAAACCACCTAGAAGCGGCTGGATGATATGGCCAAACCTTCTACTGTGTTATGTTTCTTAAACTCAGGCAAACTGATTTAATTACCATATCAATGTCAACAAAATAAAAGCCTCTGACATTCTCCACATTTCAGTCTTTTCTCCAGTAAGTTGATGAAATGACACATTTTTTTGGTATTGTGCTGCTGTGACCGACTACTCTGTATTAAAATGGAACAGCATATATATTTCACATTGCCAGTTTTAATAAATTGACCTCTTTTACAAGAGACCTGGCAAAGGTAGCCGCCAAATCACAAGAAATACATACATAGTAAACACCAAGTAACATTTTCAAGATTAAAAAAAAAAAAAAAAGCAGTTTTCATGTTGTTGCAACTCGTGGCACATTTAAAAGCATCTGCTGTGGGGAGCATAGTGGATCGGTACCAGAGCAAAGTGAGAAGGTGTCTTCCAAGTCATTTAAAACTTCCATACATATAATGATATGTTTTTTTAGGGGGTTACCAGTCTCTTGCATTGTTATTTTTGACACAGGTTGATATATTTGAGATGCGCTACTGTATTTGTGAGGTTTGAACTTTTTCATTCAAAATGAGTCAAAGGATTCCTCATATTATAGGAAAGCAAACATGGAGGCGCCTCAAGGCAGCGCCCAAGAACATCTTTCCACAATGTCACCGATTCTGCTGTTCAAAACGCTACAACCCAGGCATTAAACCCGCAAAAGCGCTGAATGTTGAAAACATTTTATCACTGCTTGAAACTTTAAAAACAGAATGTCTTGAGAGCTGTACTGAATGAAATTTCTTTTTGTATACACTCTGTGTGAACAAAATGACAATATAGTCTAAGTCTAAGTCATATATAGATAGATCCTAAACTTTTGTAAAGTCTAAACAGCAAAAATGTTAGAACCTGTGGATAAAATAAACATAATTAGCAAAGACCATGAGTAAGGCTTTTATTTTGATAAGTCAGAGGTGTCTAGAGAAGAAGATGTTGAGGGAAAGTTTGTGTTTTGTCGGTTTTGGAACAACCTGCTGCTGTTAAATACACCGTTCAGCTGGAGAGACTTCTGACTTATTTAGCTCTACAGCAGACTGCTGTAAATCATTAATGGCTGACAGTGTTTGAGTGTCACCGGCTAATAAATCAGGACCCACCTTCACAACGCTGCAGCTCACACACTGCCTTGTTTTCATGCCTGATCACACTGTTAATAAGACCCGAGTGTTTTGGCCTCATGTATTAAAAGCAAAAATCAACTAGTTCGTTTTTGTGGAATAAGTATGAAATGATTTTGCTGCTGAAATCCAAATTATAATTTCTTGCTCAGGGTGATAAACTGTGATTTTTTCCCACATCAGGATTTTTTCATGTCTGTCATGCATTTCTTATTGCCCTCATTAACATAACTTTTTCTCGGCACACTGTGCTCCTTAAATAGCTTAAGAAAAGCTGCAAACTCCTTGATCCTTTTCACTCTTCCATAGAGACCAGATTTGTGGAGGGACCTGTCCTGTTTTCTCACCCGATCTGTGGCTCTTTGGTAGAAGAATCGTTTTCACCTCCTCATGATGTCCAGTTGATAAGTACGCCTGCCCTTTCCTTCAGAAATTATTAATACCAGCTTGGATTTAACAAAGCCAGTGCTTCAGTCCATCACAGCATTCTTGTTTCCCTTTTCATCACACTTTTAATTTTCTGAATCAGTTAAGCATAACAGTTGGAGCAAACTAATTTACAGAGGCCCAGTTATGAGGATTATAGCAGGAGCTCTTGACGTTTGTCTAAGACTCTTGAAAACCCTGTTGCCTGATTGTATTTACGTCCCCCGACAGCTCTGACACCATGTCGAAATAATGCGCCATCGATCCTGAGTGTGCCTTCATGAGTTCCCCCCCCTCTGTATATACCTGCATACAGCACCATCTGTATCCTGCTTCGGATGAATGTGAAGGACAGCGGCGCTGCAGTCGTGGTGCTCGTCTGGGATTCATTGGGAGCCGGAACGATGAGAGGTCCCACGATGAAGGAAGCGGCGCCTCCTAGGTAGGAGAATAGTGAGGCCACAGCGGTGGCCGTTGCTCTCTGATCAGGGGCGAACCATGTGGTGGAGAGGAAGGGTCCGGCACTCATTATAGTCGGCCCGGCCAAACCGTTTAGAAACTGGCCTCCGTGTATTAACCTGGAACAGAGAAGGTGTGCTAGTTAAAAAAAAAAAAAAAGAATAATCGGCATAAATGAAATTTAACAGCAAAACTCTCTGCACCCACAGACAGAAGCTAGAGTAAAACAGCTTATATGGTCATAATTTTGCACTGAGTGGAAAGGTAAAGCTGCATGAAATCAGGAAAACATGTAATTACTCTACTTTTGATGAATGTTGCAATGATGAAAAACCTTTTTTTTTCCTCGTGTACTTTAGCAGCTTAGCCAGCAAAAACGTACATTCACTGAAGGTGGCGACAGTCCGTTCAACAGGCCAAATTCATTACTGCTAAGAAGTTTGTAAAGCAAAACCAAACACTGCATTCTAGCAGTCCTCATACATCCAGTAAAAAAAAAAATATTCCAACCCTTAGTTTGAAAAGATATATTAAAAATGTTTAAAATCATAAGTCCTGCCTTTAATTTTCCCCAGAACTAAACAACCTCTCCACAGATGCATGGCTCAACACAGCAAGACTCGGCTGTCCACCCACACCTTATGGACAAAGGACATTCGGACAAAGAAGACAGGGGGTTTGAAAGGGGTGTGAAGGAAGCCTTTAATGTTAAGAGAGAAAAACCAACCTTAAACAGAGGGGGACTCAGGATTTAGCTCTCAAAAACCTACAATGCAGCGATAGAGTCGCTTCTTTTTTTACAGCCATTTTATTTATTTATTTATTCTAAATCTTTTGGTATTGAGAAAAAAAACTTCCTCTGAATCAAGCAAAGAATAAAGAGAATCAACCCTACATGGAGGGCTGTGTGGAGCGAGGGAGTGTTGTAGTAATGACATCTGGTTTGTGTGAATAACAACATTTACAAGACTCAGAAATTATTTTGGAGTCTTGAACGGTGAGAAAGTGAGGATAGTAGTTGAAATCTGTGCCTTTGTGCACATAAAGAACCAGGCTGTCTAATAATAAATACATTTAATTTATACTTCACTTTCCATCAAAAGATGAAAAACTCTCTGTTAATCTTTAGCATTATTATTTTGAAAAGATCCTAAGATGTGAATTATAGGCAAAGTGGCATCAATGTCGTACAACACTCGCTGACTGCAGGTAAAATGGTTCAATAATTAACCAAAAGCGGGATTAACCTGTATCTACTTCATAAGGAAGCTCGCCGACAGCTCATCTTCACAGGCTCAAGGCGGTCTTGTCAACCTCTACTTTATGGTGATTATTTCTTCAACAGAGATTGCAACAAATTTCAAATAAAGCCACCGACAGCCGTAAAATAAAGTTAGTTTTCAAGAATTTGAAAGGAAAAAGGCAAGGAAAGAAAATATGATATAATTATTGTCAAAGATTAGTTTACAAACTTTAGCTGAAAGAGTTCAACTTTGCAGTCACATTTTCAGCCTCAGCTCTGTGAGACAAATGTATTTGGAGAGCCCTCCCTGATGCCGCCGTGGCCCCTCGCCACCCTCTGGACCTGTCTGACTGAGACAGCCGGCCGCTAGAGACGGCTCAGGGCTGATTGATTGTCTCTAAGCTCGGTAAAGACACCGTTCCTTCACAGCAGTCTGAGGTGGCTCAGCAAGGAAAGGGGTCGGGAGACGAGGCAAGAAAGCAACTAGAAAAAAAAGAGGAAGCTGAGATCTAAGGCCAATCTTGAGCTTAGGAGATTCAAAAATATCTCCTATGTTTTCTATCAGAATTTAAAATAGAAAAGAGTTGGATACAGTTAACTTTATCTAAATTAAACTCATTACTTTAGCTATGATTCTATACGTCTGCAATTCTTCTACATTGTTTTAGTTGAAGAAAAAGTCTCATTCAAGAACTATAAACTGCTATTCCACAGTGAGTTTTACTGATATAAAAGCCCACCTGATGTTATAAATAAGGAGAGAAGCTATTTTTTTTCTAAGAAACCTAAAAAAAAGAAGAATCGTGAGCAATACTTTTAACAAACTAATCCCAGTTTTGATTTAAAAGATATACACATTTCCTCCTTCCATTTCTTTATAGCATTTTTTTAGCATCTGCAGCTTCTGGGCGCCACAGATGAATGTGTCCCAGTCAAGCACAAAGATCTGTGGTTAGTGGCAGATGGATAGGAGAGAAACCTGTTCACCTTCTATCTTCTTCCCACATCTTAGACCTGCTGACATCTCATTCTACACACCCGCACCTCCTAAATTACTCTCTGGGCCTCACTTTTCTATTCATCCTACTCCTTTGATCTTGAGCGCCTCTGTTAAAGAGTCTCAAACTCTAAAGCAAAGTTAACTGCTACAGTTTTTAAAATCTAACATGTGAATACATAGAAAAGATTGAATTGTTTTTAATCTCTATTAATTTTGCACGTTTCTGATGTGTGTCCAATATGTTCCTCTGCTTTTTTTAACTGACAAAAAGTTTACTTTATATTGCAACTTAGCTAGTATTTTAACATTTTTCAAAGTTGCATAATAGGTCTTTAAAGAGGCCTGGTCTTAAGTAAATAACTCCAGCATCTTCTTTTATGGATCAGATTGTGTATATCATCTAATCTGATTCCCAGCTAAGCTAACATGGGATATGGGTAAGATATAGGTAAGAGGATCATACCACAGATACACCACAATACACACACACACATATATATATATTTGTGTGTGTGTGTGTGTGTGTGTGGTCTTGTTTTACCTACAATGTGAGGGAAGTATTTTGTAAAATATCCTACATGCGGGGACTTACAGGTACATATTGGGACATTCAACTGGTCCCTATATGGTAAAGTTCTGTTCTTTGAGTTGGGGTTAGGTTAAGGACTAAGGTGTGAATTCAGTTTAGGTTAGGATTAGGTACATCTTGGTAATAGTTAGGGTAAGGGCCTGGGTTAGTCCATATAAAATTAAAGCAAGTCAATCAATGAAATGTCCTCATATCTCATGAAAATTTAGCTGGATGTCTGTGTGTGTGTGTGTGTGTGTGTGTGTGTGTGTGTGTGTGTGTGTGTGTGTGTGTGTGTGTGTGTGTGTGTGTGTGTGTGTGTGTGTAAGGTCATGCTACGTTAAGCAAGCACTCAATCTGCACTGATGAAGGTTTGTTCACTTTGGTTTCCTGAATGGCTTTAGCGGTTCCATCTGACATCCGTCCAAGATTTTTTCAGCTTTTTTAATCACCGTATAACATTCAAACAGTTGTAGACATATTTTTTGTAATGTTGAAATATGTAGAAATAAAATTGACTACAACACAAAAGTGCCCCATCCTAACAAGGCTGCAACATGGAGGGGAAGTTTAAAAGGAAAAGAAAACTAATTTGAGCAAATATGATTTTTAAAACTGCGCTTTTTTTTATGTCTGTGTAGGATATGTTAACATATGTCATGTTTAGTACAGCATCACCCTTTTAGGAAGTGTAAAATACATACTGAAGACTTCGTAAAATTGCAAGACTTTTGAAGCGGTTCTGTTTTTATATAAACTGCCTTCCCAATGCCATCTTGTTTGCCAAACAGCACATCATAGTGCAACAAGGACGTGCTTCTTCATATTCCTCTATTCAACTCTTTAAAAAGGTATTCCTATGGTGCTATAACTAGTAACTGTTGAAACATTGGGTTGAAATTTGATTTGCATTTATATTGCAGAACACAAGATTAAATCCTGAAGAGTTTGTGGCAATAAACAGGAGCCGAGTTACTATCCAAATGTTTTTTATTAAACATACTTGCCTCTTAAACCTCACCTGACTTATAATGATGCCAATGAACCTTGGAAATAGATATTAAACCCATTCTAGAGGGTGAAAATATTGGGACTTTTCTCAACAGTTTTTTGACCAGGCCTTTGTCAATGAATTGCCCCTGTACCATACTTGTTTCGACTGTCATGTCCATTTAACACATCTGCTGTAAATTGAAAATGCCTGTTGAGTAAAATCTGTGGCAATAATACAGTCACGGGACTATTGATTTTATAACAGTAAGTCTAATGCTCACCCAGCTCTATACAGAACATTTGTAGACTGCATAAAAGCTGTTTGCATCTGGAACTAAATGCGTTAAAAGCTTAAGAGTGACTTTTATAGAGCTGTACAAAACCACACATTCATTTTATGCTCCTTACATCTTTTCAAACTGCGTTGCAGCTTAACTAACCATGCTTATCGGAGCATTTGGTAGTTATTTAGCAACAGCTGCAAATCCGGGGAAACTGAAGAGAGTTAATGTCTGATTGACGATGTGCTCATGTCACTGAAGACTTTGATCATTTTAATAGAAACCTACTGATGTCCTGTTTGTCACTCAGCTGACTGTGTGCCCTACCCTACATGTTTACTTGTACGGGGAGCGGGAAACAGATTTGATCACATGCTCAGGTGGTCAGGATACTTTTATGCTAAGTGTGAATGCGCATTCACAGAAAGCTCAGGTTATCCTGAGCTTTCTCAATATTTATGCTGCTATAGCCTTAGACTTCTGGAGGACATAGGGACCCCATTTACATCATTCTGCTTCATTCTATCTCTATTCTCCTACTCTGCAGAATCTGTTAATTCAAAATCTAACGTTATGCTCGCTTTGCTTTTTCTCATAGTAGCTTCAGCCCGTCTGTTCCTTTTTTGGCTGTGACACCACCCTGGAGAAAAATATCAGCTGTGCGGCTGCCATCAACACCTTTGTTAATAGATGTTGGAGATCGGCCTGGTTTTCAGTGTAGTCCTGTTTCTCTGACTGTGACTGGCTGGATGTGCTCTTTTCCTCCTCCGACATGGGAGTTGGTTCAGAGCTCGTCTGCCTGGATGTGTGTTTCCTGAATGGGGCCACCTTTTTACAGTTGCCTTTTGTATCTCTGCTTCTGTTTATTTTAACCCCAGTCGGCCTCTGCAGATGGCCGCTCACACTGAGACTGGTTCTCCTGGAGGTTTCTTTCTGTTAAAAGGGAGTTTTTCCTCTCCACTGTCGCTACAAGCAAGCTTAGTGTGAGGGATTGCCTTTGAGTCAATGTGTCGATGCAATCAACTGGTTTTCCT